GGTAGCATGCGTAGGGTGTGGCTTCGGCCGCGCCAATCACCTGCGGCCTATTCCGCTTCCGGTCTTCTTAACTCTGTCTTGACACCGGGCACGGGTGGGCGAAGGAAGAGTGAGCGCAGTAGATGCTACGCAAGTCTACTATCCCTTACAACCAATCCACGCACAAGTCACCGTGTTTGCCCTAAGCTTACTGATTCATGCGATGGACATAGTCGAAACTAGTGGTAGAACTTTCTTATTCCCAAATACTGCAGTTTGCATTGGAGCTCACGAAACGAACTGAAAGACCTAGCACGTAACTGAGTAGATGTGATCTTTTCTGAGTCTTTTGTCCCACAGATGGGCGAGAGGTGTTCATCCCGTACATCCCGTTTTTTTTATTATTTTTTCATTCGTACCCGTGTTTAAGGTCACTAAACAGTACACACTGTACATCAATTTAAAGACACACACGCATCCTCTTGGCTCAATTCCAAAGCCTCAACTAATGTAATGTTTAAAAAGCGAGAATCACTAATAATAACACAGACAGAATCAACTAACTCACTGGGCGTCCAAATTCCGATTGGAAATCCTAAACGTGTGTGTCTGATTTCTTTAAAGTCGACTCTACCCTATCCTCTAAGAAGCCCCCGTAACGTCGCTTCTGAAGTGTCCAAGGCAGTCATTTGATTCTATTGGTTTGTATACTTATTTGTATAACTATGTATATCTTGCAGGCTGTGGAGAAATGTCTAATTATGTACTTTCGCCAAATAATAAGCGTATTGACGAAGGTTAGATTTAGAAACAGGCGTAGTAAAATGACCACATCCGGCTTATTTCCCTTAGCAAACCACGTCCATGCGACCTGTAGGAGAATCGTGATATCTTAATTTATCATCCTGTTTAACATTTAAACTTGGCAAACACAAAGAACTACTCCACGGTAATAATAACAAAAACGGAACGTAATGGTAATGTTACTAGTAATGACGTCAACACACCTGGTAGCACTTCAGGCGTATTGACAGTAGCGGTATTTATCGATTGAAGATCTGATATGAACGTGAGCTTAGACTTCCTCCCGTTGAAGAAGAGGAAGTTTAATAGGCCTTTCTCCGTAATTTTAATAGTTCTTGTGAGCACCGAAGGAACTGTGGGCAAACCTTAAGGGCTGAGAAGCAGTTCATTCAATGGTAAGTTGGGGCAATCATCTTCTGCTTACTGTTACTGACCACCGGTGAATAATTTAGTCAAACAATTGGTGTCAGATTAATATAACTGCTTAGGCGGTGCCGACTGGAGCGGCTTCCGTGCAGAGCACCACTTTAAACGAATTTGATTTTTTTAGCTCTACGCAAACTCGAAGAGAGCAGACTAACTGTTGAAGACTTAGTGAAGGGCGACTGTTTTCGAAATTTTTGGCTGTGGCTCATCCGTGTTTCTAGGTACGGATTTGCGATTCAAGAACCTGAAGTACTTTGTTGCCTGGTCATGGGATTGGGCAAGTACAAGAGCCAAAATAGAACATAAAAAGCTGATTTTTTGTGCTTCTTTGAAGAACGCAGTTACTCCAGCCAGCGTAGTCGGCAAAAACCTGGGGACATTTCAGGTCTAGGGATTTGAAGTTGAAAGTATAGTCGAGACGTGGTCATTTAGTTTTGCCGTGCTGTTCGCCACAAAGCCCTTGAAAGCTTTCTTTCACATAGCAAACCAACAAAACAAGCAGCAGAAGAAGTATGAACAAGGATAGGGGAGCTTGGGAGAGCTTTTTGCCTTCCTGCTCTTACGCATTAGTTGTCTTGATTTGGTGTCTTCGAGTGGTAGCAGACCAGTGGAAAGTAGATGAGGCGAAGGAGGAAATTGAACTCAATTCAACTGGGAATTGGCCAGTTTATAATTAAAATGTAACTCTTTGTACGGGTCGCGGCGATTAGCATCATGGGACTGGCGCAGTGGATAGAAGAGGGCGGAGGGGGAGGGAATAGGGGGACGGAAGAGCCAAGCCAGAAGTCCTGCCTTCACTCCTCGTCCCCGAGTCCTCCTACTCCTCCTCCTCCTCCCTCTCAAGGGGCTGAGGCCAGCGTGTATAATTCATTGCCGCTGGCACTTGATTTGCATGCTTAATAAGGCCCAGTAATTACATCGGCATGAAGGTTTCGCGCCTGTTGTACATATACCACTATACCGTCGGTGCCGACTGTCCCTAAGCA